ACAACAACAGCAGTAGCAGCAGCAGCAGTAACAGCAACGACACACAAATATCAAAACATGCGTCTTGAATATTCATGAATGAGTACTTTTTTATGTGAATATGTGCGTATGCTGTTGAACGGTAGAATCACCGACCCACATACGTATTCATATTCATATTCGTTGATGGATGGATGGAGAGTGGGAGAAAGTGAGAAAGAGAGGTGACAGAAAAAAATTTCTTGACGAGACTCTGAATCATTTCGCTGTGTAAAGCGAGAGACGCAGAGAGAATATCATCGAATTTTAATTGCGATCACGTTATGGTTAACATTTTAGCCTTTCATCATACCAAATACTTTGAAGTGGTAGAAAAGAAAAAGAGTGGCAAATCTATCAAAGCTCTTTGACCAATTATCGTATCTTTGTTGAGTGTTTTGGCGCAGATTGGCTGCATTTTCGTCTAAGACAGTGAGTGCTGATGGTGTGTCTGTTCCTATCAATTGGCTGCTTCCCAAGTTTATTTATTGCACATCGATTTTTCAAGAAATAGCCATAAAATCCGATGATATTAATTGAATGACCCGACTGAAGAAGACGATCACAGAAGCAATGCACTCAACGAATCAAAAAATTGGCATTCAATTTGAAATTGAACCGAGATCTGATTCGGCCAGACATATATGAACACACGTAATGCAATCAAGCGAAAAATAATCATAGCAATCAAAATTCGAAACAAATTAATCATCAATTCAATGCGCTTTAATGATAAAAAAAACATGAAAAAAGGGCAAGAAAGAGCACGTAAATTAATCATTGAATTGCAAAATGGGGAATATCGAGCCGAATTTTGTTGTTTGCAAGCGTAAAAATATCATCGTTTTGATAGAGAGAAAGACACACACACGCTAAGGGATAGAAAGAAAAAGAGAGGGGATCGTAATATCTACCGCATTCGTTGTTATTCGAAATGATGTTTTGAACGTAAAGTGATATGAAATGAAAGTCAATGGTAAAAACAAGAAAAATGATACCTTCAATTGTGATTATGGCGCTCGTGGCGCTGATATTTTTCCTCATTGCCGCCGTCGACTAACCCGTCGCGCGAGCACCCGCACCGGCTTTTAAATCAATGACTTTCGTCTGTGCCGTGCCATTTCTATTTTCACTTCGATCTTTTCACATCAGTTTTTTTTTGCCTTCTACTTCATCTTTATCTTCTGCTTTTTATCCATTCCGTTACATTTTTCTCCATAACAAATTTTCTTTCTCGTTTAATTCAACTCGGAATACATACTTTATCTGATGGGGCGTGAGTTCGTTGTTCGCATCGGTTGTATATCTCGTTGGTGTGTCACGAAATTTGATGTTACACTTCTCTCTAAATATATGCACATCATATCTTTGGGGAATAGCGCGAGCGCCCAATTCCATTTGTTTGTTGTTGTCTCTCTCTCTCTCTATCTCCCCGTTGACATTGTAGGAACGAGATATAGATTCGCGCAATTTTCTCTTGATTGCATCACGAAAAGTGGAACAAATTCTGAATATCGAATAACTATCGGCGTTGCCAATTATGTACTCAACTCAATAATGGCATCGGTTGACTCTTCATTTGTGTTTTTTTTTTTACATTATTTTTCACATATTTTCAAGTCATTTTTCTATTCATGTTATGTCATTGCATTTCTACACTTTGAATGGCCAAGCGATTGTATTTACATGCAAATTGATTGCGATTCAGTTATGATTTCGATGTGAATTCAAACAATTTCAAATGACAAGCACATTTACGCGTCAATTTAGAATTTGGAACGGCCATTGCATTTCGTTTGCATTTCATTTTTCTTCTCTTTGTTCTTTTTCCCCATTGAAATAAATAATAAAATAGTTCAATCCGATGAACGGGATCGGCAATGAAAACGTGCCGAAATGCAATCGAACCAAAGCAAATAATCAAAGACATTCTTAGTGTAAAAAATCCAACGAAAAAATGTGAAAGAAAAAACTCGTACGTGCGTTCATTTTACGCCAAGTGGTCGGTATATGGTGTATGTATGTTCCGTTTCGTCTTCTCATTTTACCCATTGTTAAAATTTCATCAAGTGCAGACGTCGGCCGCAGCGGTCACTACTCGTGGGTTGGTTGCGTTGCCAACTGAACATTGTTGTGTTTATTATAAATAAAGTTATCAATTTTGCGACGTTGAGTCGGGTGCAACGTCAATAACAATAAACCTCATGGCAAATTGAATTACATACACACGGGAACAAAACGGCTGCAAGGCAGAACAAACAAACGAGAAAGAAAAAAACAGCAAGCGAACACAAATAAATAATTTGGAGAGTCAGAATTTAGAGTCGAATGCATTAGTGCAAAGGTTTACACGCTCTACCACTTTGCTTTCGCATTGTGACGTCGGATCTTTCATTGACCTGAATTTGTTTGTGCAAAATTATGAATTTTCGCCATTGTTCAAATACACACTATATGTTCATACTGCACCATTGTTTGTGGACTATACCATTTTTTTTCGTTTAGTCAGAACACTGAAAGCCAAAACCAAAACAATGCTCACTACACACACACACACACAAAATCAAATAATGAATTTCGAGTTTGTTTTCTGTTTGCTCAATGTGTAATTCATTTTTCAAACATGTTTTTTTTTGTGTGTGCTCAATCTTGATCGGCCTTTGGCCGGGTATTCAGCACCTGAATTCACCTTAGTCACCGCGGTGTGCTATCACTGGAACGAGCAGCAATAATGATAACAACAATAGCAAACTCGGAAGAAAACCAAATGAAGCGATTGTTCTCTCGAAACAGAATAATTAGTATGATTAAAGCGTAGGTTGTTGCGGCTCTGTTTTTTTTTCTCTTCTTCTGTCGAATCAATTTGTTTTTAGTTATGATTAAACAGTTGGGCACATCAGATTGCTGTTCCAAAATTAGCCCTAGTAAGCTTAAATTGTATCAATTGAACTGCTGAGAATATTCGTTGGACATTGTTACGTTCGTAAGAAATACGGTTCTTGAAAATGTTGGTACGCAAAAGCGGTACATCAAAATAATTTTTTTTTCGGGGCTTTTAAGCCGTGATTACAACAATACGTGTACCACTTTTGCGTACTAACATTTTCAAGTAGCACATTTATGGTACCACACAAACAATGTCCAACGAATATCCTCAGCAGTTCAAATGTGTATTGTGTAGATTTGATCGAGGGATAGACAGTGAGAGTGTGTGTATTCTTAATCGTAGTTAGTTTAAGAAGTTTGTCGGTTGTTGAAAAAATTGCCCCCATTAAATTACACATGCTCATCGTAAAAACTTGTTCAATTTCAGATTGTTACCGATTGATTTTATGATTCGGAGCCCTGTGCAATGATACGAAATGTGGCCTCGGATGATGGTTTCGGCCTGTAGAGATAGAGCTTCGTCCTTTCTTTTCGTTAATAGACGCAACGAGAATCAACGCTCCGAATCATCCAGGTAAGTGCTACTGCTACTGCTGCTGCTGCAGCGGCGGCGGCGGCTGATTTTTTATGCGTGTATGTTTGTGGTTTTTCCTCATTTTCACAACCAAACAATGAATACGTTCCGTTCGCTCGTCGCAACACTAAACAACACATCTTTATATTGCTCACCGGAATAGAACCAATCATAAATCAGAGCATTTATATAAAACATTTTTGCGGAAAATGCCATGGAACTAAACAGTGAATTGAAATAAAATTACAAAAAGAGAAATTGCTTTCGTAATTTAAGTGATACCAGTGATTCAACGAAATAGAAAGTGAGAAAGAGAGAGAGAAATAAGAGAGTAATTTTCTGGGAAGAAAAAAAAAATACTTACAGACATTATTTATTGCCAACGAAAAGTCGTATTTTCCAAGCACATCGGTTATTTATATGGCCGAAGAGTAAAACATTCGCCGAAAAATTGAAATGTTGATGTGAGAAGTAATTCCCAGTGTAAATCACACTGGATCGCTTAAATGCTCGAATGAAAAATCCATCGAAATCGAAATTCGATTTCTCTCAATGTCTGACTCCTTCCCTCTCTCTCCCTCTCTTTCTCGTTCTGCGTGCAATCAAAAGATTAGCCGTATATCATTTCGGAGGAAATGAAAGCAAAGGAGTTGAGACAGAAAGAGAGGAAGAGAGAGCGAAAGAGAGTAAGAACTCATGAAAAAGGATCCTAGAGACCAGTTTCAAAGTGATTTCCAATATCTGGGTCATGTAGTTCCATTTGCTCAAGTGTAAGTGTGCGTTTTATTATTGTTGTTGTTTCCGCTGCAACTGCAGTGAAAATGGACGAATGATTTGTGGTTTACAAACATGAACAATTTAATTTTCGATATTTTTGTAGCAATCACTTTTTGTTTGCTTTTGATGTTGCCGAAATGATATGAAAACCTCTTCCCTTAATGGGAAATTAAATTAAAATCAAATGAGCTAATTTATTGGGCGTGAGATAGGGAGTGTAAAAGAGCGAACGAACGGAACGTAAAACGATGTGAAAATTAATTGAACATGATTTTGAGATGCAATTCACGAAATTTCATTATATTTTTTTTCTATCTTTTCTGTTGTCTGTCTCGTTTTTCTTCTCGGTGCCAATTTGATTTTCGAACGGCCCGGACGGTATACCTACACACATACCACCGCAAACAGTTCATTGGGAAACAGTAATTTTGGGCACAGTAACATCAATTTATATAATAATTATGCAAGTGCATCGTATGCAACCTATACAGCACCTCAGTATACAACGGCAAATCCGAATCGTTGCCCGGCTAATGCCAATATTAAGCCAACTTCGAGCTGCGCTACAGCTGGCGATCATTCAGAAGGGAAAACGACCAATAAACCACCGGCATCGATACGATGCGGCCACCATGTGCTACGAAAATCGAATGGCAACAACGGCGGCAGTGACACGGTAGTAGCCAACAAACACGAACGACAGTTTAATGAGTCTGTGATAGAGGAGGGACATAATAACAATTTCGTAAGTACTTATACACACACAAACACATTTCAATTATCACATATCGTGCCAGATGCCGACGACAAGTGTCGTCGTCGTCGTCATCATCGTTTACAATGTCGTCGTAATTTAATCCATCGAAATCTGGCGTTTGGTCGAGATCTATGTTGATAAAATGTCATTTGCCCGTTTTAATTCAACTGGTTGACGATTTGTCGGGGGCGTATTAATCATACGAAGTCATTTTGTCTAGTCAACGACTGAAGAACAGAACACAAATGGAAAAAAAAACACGAGCGATAATCTTCTGAATCACGAATGCTTGCGTCTTTTCTCTCTCTCTCTCTCGCTCTCTCTCTCTCATTTTTCCATCATCATCATCATCAGAGACACATTTGAAATGGTTGTACGTGATGCTGTTATTCGCGACGATATAAAATTAATACCATTTGGTTGTGCAGTTGAAATTGCGCGCACTTGAATGCCTGTCAATGTATCTCGTAAGCTCATGATTTCGTCATCTTGGACGCGTCCAATTTGATTCCCACTCATCAAAAGTCCGCAATTCACATGAAATGAATTTTGTGTATGTATGCATGTGTGTATCGCGAATCTATTGTGCCTAATGTCATTCAATTTGAACTCGTGAACCACAAATGAATGGCACAATGTTTGATCGCTTCAAGCCAAATCCAATTTTCATAATTAAACAAATTTTCTTCGCATGTCTTTGAACGTATCACTCGAAAACCGCCTCAGCAGTCAACATTTTAACTAAAGCGCAGCTCATCAATGATTCAACGCCTAACAAATGATGTTTACACATCGAATTTTCAACTTAAGTTTCAATCACTTAACGTCAAACAAATGGTTGATACTGGGATTTATCGATCAAATGGAAAATTGCCCAAATGTACGGACCGAATATAGTTTTTGTTTCATTTAGATTCCCATAATTTCCTATGTAAACTGAAAAAAATGTTCTTTCTTTATCCTTCCTTACCTCATTTTCTTAATCGAATTTCAATAATTTACTTCGGCACTGAACAAAAGCAATAGACTTTGGGGGAAAAAACATTAACATTATTATCAGCTCTAGTCTAAAAATGTCATGTAATTAGGAATCAAGATTGGAGTCAGTTAAATGGGAAATCATCGGATGAACTTTGCAATCAACACCATCAATTTGTGTCGTGTTGCTAAAATGATGAGAAGAAAGGAATAAAAATTCTTCGACGGTTAAAGAATTTCGATGTTTTACTACCGGTAATTCCGGTGTGATTTAGGCGACAATGAGTGTAGCTAATGGGCATTAAGTGAGGCATATATCTTATAAATGGGCCAATTTTCACTTTTGCCAATGTCAATGTTGCCATTATTTATATATCACTCGCCTCATCGACTCCACACATTCCATGCCGTACGGTAGTTCAGTTTTCTTTCTCACACTCACTCCGTTGCTAGTGATTAATGTGAATGTCGGCAGTTTTCATTAAGCTGATCTGCGCAACAGGTGTGAGATGGTATTTAAATCGTATTTGCATTCACTGGCTGCCCGATTTTTTTCTTTCACTTCGCACAGCGGCAAAATTGTTTTCGTTTAAGAAATTTTCTCAAGCCCAAGCTTTCGAGATCTTTGGGCAAAATAAATGGCATTCAAAGCACTTGGAACGCTATACATTTTTCATATTTTCTGTCATTAACCCTTTGATGCACAATTTTTTGTTTTTGAATCATTTTGATATATGTTCTGCGCCACGATAAATAGAGAAAGACCTCATACTTGGATTTTTGAAAAATTGCGTATTTGTCGAGAAAATCGGAAAAGAGTCAAAAGTGTTAAATCACTATAAAAGCTTGAAAAAATTAAATTTCATAAAACAAATGATGCAGAAAGTCAAAATTGTTGTGTTTCGGTCCTACGAGTCTCAAATTGACAATTGAAAAGAATGTACAAACCCACAAGATAAGAGGAGGAAAAATGTGGAATTCTGCTATAATTTCGCATTTTTTTTTTTACACCAGTACATGAACAGAAAAAACTTTCCATTCAGCTAACCAATTGTAGCCTGTAAAGTATCAAATGAAAGCTAGTTCAATTCCCTACATTTGTTTCCAAACAAGAATGCAAAAATATTCAGTGGTTTCATAGCTATAGTGTCTGGCGTATCTGGTTACTTTAGGAACCGATATGTGATAAAGGGTTAATTTAGAGTTTGTGAGTGTGTATGTGGCGGTTCTTTATCGTACGAAAAAGGACCGTTTAAAAAAAGCACGAAATTCGTGCATTCTAAACGAGATTCGCAAATTTTCTACCAACATCAAAAAAAGACGCTTTAAAATGAGACTGAATTTAATTGCAATCAAAGCTAAACAAAGACTGATTAAAGGAATGAAATCATGGCGAAAGAAAAACCAAGCAGGCATTTGCTTCGGAACAAAACGTGTAACATTCAACAAGATTTTAGTGTATGCCATGTCATATTGTTTGCAATTCCATCATGTCAGTACGTGACGATAAATTGTGTTCCATTGCCAATGAACGGCATTATATATATATGTGTGTGTGTGATGGGTAGCAATGGGTTGCCAATAATGATGATTACATTTCGATGCGTGTTCATTCTAGTTGTTTCGATGGAAATTCGAAAAAATAGCACTCGACCTTTATAAGTGCGTTTAATTGATATTATACTGAACTTGAATCCTGTAGGCCGTATTGTTGACGCAAAATTTAAATAATTATTCGCGAAATATTTAATGTAAACGAGATGGTTTAGTGTTTGTATCTTTGCCATTTCCATTGTTTTGTTTTGGGGTGTCGACGGAAAAAAGCATTTTCAGTTGGACACAATTGTCGACGTAGATAGAGCAATGACAATGCAACATTCGCCATGCTATATGATTCAATACACACACACATACATGACTCAGAGGTTCAGTTGGTTTGCTTTTTGACGTAATACTTTTGTGTAGAAATGAAGTCAATTAATTGGCAATATTCGTTGGTTGCCGTCAAATCAGTAACACAGCAACCATTTTCTCTTTCGTGCATGCTCTTTTTGTCACGTCGACATCGTTTGTATGACGCAATCCCAATTGCAAAAAGGTCATGTGTATGCTTAAACCTTTTCTCCGCACGCGCGCGCGCTCGCGCGTTTGCTCGCTCAACCATTTGCGTGTGTCGTTTTTACTTAAGTTGACTTTAGTAATTCATTTTCCATGCGATTTACCTCTATTTGCTAACTAACTAACTCCTTTTGGCCATTTGCATGTGTGCGTGAGCGTATGTGTAATTGTTGCGAAACTTTTAATTTTCCTGTTCATCGACTGTTCTTGTTGTCGTTCTGCTGTGTCAATTCAATGTCATCAATATTTACACAATGAATAGAGTTCTTCTGGTGCATCTTGCTGAGTGAGAAAAAAAAGAGCCACTTCGACTTTCTTTTCTTCCTCTTCTCAGAGGAATGGAGAGAGAATTTCTTTCAATTTTCTGCTTTTTCTTTTTTTAAACAAACTGCAGAAATCGTTGTGCTATTTTTCATTTTTTCTGCTATAAATATTTATTTTATCGATAACTTTGCCATGCTTTGCCATGCACACACCATTTCATGTCAATGCAAAGTTTGAAAAGGAAAAAATTGCATTCTGCGGTAAATGTTTGTGTGTGTATGTGTCGCTTGGTTCAATATGATATTGATATCAACATTAAGATTGTTAAGTAATTGTTTGGTCGAAAGTTTTTCATTTTAATACGTAATGACCTCAATTGATGCATTTTCCCTGCTCGTCTTTGTTCTCTCGTCCGCTCGAGAGGGAGCGAGAGATGGTGAAATTCTTTGATTGTTGTGTTGTTGTTTTCATTTAGTCAGTATTCACACCCACCGTATTGTTCCGTTGCTTTCTCGATGTTTTAACCATTTTGATGGAAATGAAGACGTGCAAACAAGAAGTGAAACACTCAAATTGAAACCTTTCCCATTTTATTTCGTTTGGAGAAAATAACAATTGGTCTTTTGTCACATAGGGCAAGAGAGAGAGAGAGAGAGAGAGAGAGAGTTAGAGACTTTCAGCAATCGAAGCAGAATGTACCACGAAAAAAGGACACATACCAAGAATAAACGAAGAGTAAATGTTCTCGTGCTCATTTTTTGTCGTTTGAACGAGCGTTTGACGGTCTCGTTTTGCATGAACCATTCCATTCCGCTTTGAGGATGCTTGGATAAACATCAACTATTTGGCTACGATCGTTTTGTTTGTGTTTTTTTTTCTTTCTTCTTCATCTTGTTCTCTATTTTCTTTTGCGTTATTTTCATGCTTGTCACTTTATGAGTGTGTCAATTTCTATGCAGCGTTTATGTTGTATGTGTGTGTTTTTCCCTGCAGTTTTTATTGTTAGTTTTTAAAATGAGATATGCGATGGTGACCATGGAGCTTTCGAGAATAAATTCGCCTGCGACGAATCACAAAAATAGAATACTAATCAACACGTTATTTAGTTCAATAGAGTGGAAAAAAAATAGTGGCTGCGGGCTTGAACTAACATAAAGGAACGGAAGAGACACACGGGCGCGCACAGCGCGCATCACATTACAAACCATATGGAAAAACAATGAACAGTTAGTTAGCGTTCGGTTTTTTTCTATTCATTCTTGTTCCAACTATTTGTGTTAACTTCAGCCTATTGAATGTGGATGTAATTTGTTGTTGTTACGGGCATGGCAAACTAATCGTGATAATCTGTATAATTTGTCAACGGTTTGGTTTGATGCTTATCATAAGCACACCGTTTGTAGTTCGGTACATTGTCCGATGATGGAACGTTTGATGGATTTTGTGTTGTGATCGACGACAGGCAGCTGCAACTTGTGAAAAATTGCCAACGCTATCGACCCCATTTTTCCTATCACTTGCAATTCTGAATCACTCGTCGCTTGATTGGTTGGTTGGTCGTATATGCAATGGACGGAACAGAAGAGAAAAAAAAAGTCATAATGAAAAGCTTAAGAGAATGGAGCTCA